ATTTTTTCCCCTTCTTGCTTTGCTTCTCCCTTTCTCCTCTCTCTCTCCCCCCCTCTCCCTTCTTCTCCTTCTCCCTTTCTTCCCTCTTTCTCTCCCCTCCTTCTCCCCCTTCCCCTCCTCTCCCTCCCTTCCTCCTTCCCTTTCTCCCGTCCCCTTCTCCTCCTTCTCCCTTCCCCTTCTCTCCCCTTCTCCTCCCTCCTCTTCCCTTCCCTCCTTCTCTTCCCCTTCCTTCCCCTTCTCCTCCTTCTCCCTTCCCCTTCTCCCCCTCCTTTTCCCTTCCCCTTCTCCCCTTCCCCCTTCTCCCTTTCTCTCCTTTTCTTTCCCTGTCTTCCTTGCCCTCTTTTCTTCTCCCTCTAGGCCCCAACCCAACACTCTCACCTTTCTCTCACTATATCCTTCCTTTCTCTCACATCATCTCTCTGCCTCCCTCCCTCGGCAAACTTTAGAGAGATCCTCCCGACTCGCGAGCGCGCATCTAGACGTGAGGCACCGAACGAAAATCGCAATGAGAAGCAGACACAGAGAGCTCTGCGAACCAAAAGACCTCAGTGCGCGATAAAGATGAGCACAGAACGAAGTAGGTTGCGGAGAAAATATCCTACCGAAAGGTAGCACACACCCGGCTCTCTAAAACGAGAATACAGGAGTAGAGGAAGAGAAGAACAATACGCATAAACGTTAAGGCAACATGCAGCAGGCTCCTTAGAGAGATAGGGAATCTGATACATGAGTAGACAGCATTTTTTATATCAGACAAAAGGCAAAACGCTTATCTCTACCCTATAGGGGGGGCGACCCCAGAGATAAAAGCGAGCACAGGTTCGCCATCTCGCGCCCCGGAAACCAAGATACTTTTAAGCGGACTCCCCCCTCGATCTGGCCCTGGGGGGAGGGGAAAAAATACAATTTAACTGGCTGAGAAATGGATGTAGATCTATGTATCCTTGAGTTTAACTGGGCTTTAATTCGTGCCGATTGCTTTCTAAGATATTTATTTATTTATTTATTTGCGACATTTATATGCCGCCCTTCTCACCCCGAAGGGGTTATTATTTCCGCATGTCTGGGGCAAGTTTTATACTTTTGCTGTTTGTTTAATCAGTGAAAAAAAATTATAAATATCACACCAACAGTCAACAACAGAGGGAGAGGGAAGCTTCAGAAGTTCCCCCTGTCCCATTTGGAGGTTTTTTAGCGTATTGCGGTCGCGTCCGCCATTAACGAATCGATTCGTAATTGTTTCGTATTGTTTTGTAATTTACGAAATTTCGTAAATATCGAACTTTTTAAAAGAAAAATTTCAGAATTCTTTTAAAAATCGAAACGCAAAACCCCCCAAAAAACAAATCGATTTTAGAAACAAATTTTTCCGTGGTTGCCCAGCCCTATTGACCATACTTCCCACACAGAACCCCTATGACCAATAGAAAATACTTAAGGCCATCCAGTCCAACCCCCTTCATCAGGGCAAGAAAACTTAATCAAATACTGTTTACCCACAATCATAAAGAAATTACATATATTAGAAACCAACACTTTCTCATTACTTTATTTTCCAGATCATCAGACTGGGCCACAGCAACGCGTGGCAGGGGACGGCTAGTATCATTATAAAACCTGACAATTAGAAAACATGAACAAGCTATTTCATTGTGTGCTATATTGGGATATTAAATTAGAATCCTCTGCTTCATTTAATGTTTTTTAAATTGATAAACACTATTGATTCTGGCTTATGAAAAAATATCAAAGGAAACTCTTTTAATATTTCCCATAAAACTTGTGGAAATATTTTTATTTCGTCTTATTTAGCTTTGTTTTACTACTACAGCTTTATACATTGGATTGGATTAAAACAAACCAGCCAGTAATCTGCTTTTCTTCTGGCTTCTGTGACCTTGGCTTTTTGGTTGCCTGTTTATCACAACAGCAATTCCCTTCGAGACCTGCTGTACTTTTCCCTCGGCAAAATTTATGCAGACTCTCTTATATGCAAACTTCTATGCTGGAACATTTCTATCTACTGTTGAATTATTGTGACCTCCCGTACATTTGCTTGTGCATTTTACACGATAGAAGAGCCAGGCATTATTTTGAACTGCAGAAATTGTCCTGACAAATTCTAGTTTCAATCATAGTTCATCTCCCCTAAATAAATGTGTATTTTCTCCAAGTGTTTCCCCCACTTGCCTCCTTCCCTTCTCACTGTCACAAGGTTATAGGTCCTTGACTTTTCAAATATAAAAGGTCAGCGCTGGAAAGTCTGTTGTTGCTACTGCTGTGGTTGTTGTGTGCCTGGAAGTATTTCCAACTTATGGCAACTCTAAGACAAACCTATCACAGGGTTTTCCAAAGCTGTGTCTATGTGACCTGCACAGGGTCACCACATTAGCTCTTGAGATTTGAATCCTGCTACCTCATCAGACGGGAGGCTTGGCCCATCTGAAGGTTCCCGTGTTGCCACAACAGCAGCATACACCACTTACTTTCCCCTTTCAGGATGGAGCCCTTTATACGCCACATGCGTACTTCTAGGCGAGCTCTGTCCAGAAAGCGGAGAGTAAGCAGTGTATGCTACTGCTGCAGCAACATGGAAACGTTCCTGTGTCGCCTTACCAGAAATGGGGGGAAGCCAGGCAACAACACATCCTCACATGGGTGGGGGAAAGGCAAATCGTGCGATGTGGGGCATGAAGTGATGGGTTCTTCACACCCCTCTCGGGATCCCATGGATTTGCCACAATCCATGGGCCTTTGTGATGAGGTCCCTGATCTTCAGAATCATATTTGTTTATTTATTTATTTATTGCTTTTATATTCCGCCCTTCTCACCCCGCAGGGGACTCAGGGCGGATCACAGTGTACACATATATGGCAAACATTCAATGCCAATTTTGACATACAACATATACAGACATGTTGTTGTTGTTGTTCATTCGTTCAGTCGTCTCCGACTCTTCGTGACCTCATGGACCAGCCCATGCCAGAGCTCCCTGTCGGCCGTCACCACCCACAGCTCCTTCAAGGTCAGTCCAGTCACTTCAAGGATGCCATCCATCCATCTTGCCCTTGGTCGGCCCCTCTTCCTTTTATACAGACATAGACATAGACATAGATAGAGGCTATTTAACTTTTTCTGGCTGCCAGGGGAACTGTCGCTTTCATCGTCCATCTGCGACACTGATGAAGTACTTCCGCATTCCCCGCATGCTTTTTGCTGGAGTGCTTGCTGGAATCTTTTTTTTTATGGCCTCATAAATTAGTTAATTTTAGCCTCCCCACACTTTAAGGTGGTACCTAATTTTCCTACTTGACAGATGCAACTGTCTTTCGGGTTGCAAAGGTCGACAACAGGCTACACAATTGGTTGGGAAACCCACTCCAACCTGGGTTGGCTTCGAACTCATGACCTTTTGGTCAGAGTGATCTTAATGCAGCTGACACTCAGCCAGCTGCGCCACAATCATAGGTCCTTATCACATTGGGATACACTCCATTTCTGAGACTCTTTGATTGTGATGGGGTTAGCACCGGGACTGTTGCTTGCTGGGAGTCAGCTGCATTAAGATCACTGCTGACCAAAAGGTCATGAGTTCGAAGCCAGCCCGGGTCGGAGTGAGCTTCCAACCCATTTGTGTAGCTTGCTATCGACCTTTGCAGCCCAAAAGACAGTTGCATCTGTCAAGTAGGAAATTTAGTTACCGCTTACGTGGGGAGGCTAATTTACAACGCCATAAAAATCTCCAGCAAGCATGCAAAGAATGAGGAAGTACTTCATCAGTGTCGCAAATGGACAGTAAAGTGACAGCTCCTCTGGTGGCCAGAATACCTCATGAAAAAAGCTGGAATGTTAAGTAGCCTATGTGTCTGTCTATATATATTGTGTGTCTATGGCATTGAATGTTTGCCATGTATATGTACATTGTAATCCGCCCTGAGTCCCCTATGGAGTGAGAAGGGTGGAATATAAATACTGTAAATAATAATAATGCATCCCATCTGAATATAGTATGCATCCAACTCTAAAAAAATATGCACTTGGCTTTCTTCAACCTCGGACTTCTTTTGACTACGGCTCTTGCTTCACGGCTCTTTGTTTGTTTGTCCTTCATTTGCTATGTTGTTTTGCTTGACTTTGAAAGCAATTCAGTTTAATCCAGTTCTTTTCTCTGGATAATCCAGATTATTGCTTTAGTTTGTTTTTGAAGCTAAAACTTGCTGCTACTTTTGAGTTTTGACCAGGGACACTGAAGTAAGTGTCTCTGAGTCCCTTTGTTTTGTATTAATAAACTATTCTTTAGGACATACTCCTGAGTCTGGCTCTTTAAGTCGTCTGGGTTCCAACACGTCTCACCTCGAAGGGGACTCAGAGCGGCTTACAAGTAATATGTAAATACAGTATATTATATTATTACCATAGCACAATATTAGTATTATATATTACTATATTATACTATACCATTATACTGTAATACTAGCTGTCCCCTGCCACGCGTTGCTGTGGCCCAGTCTGGTGATCTAGAAAATAAAGTAACGAGAAAGTGTTGGTTTCTAATATATGTAATCCCTTTATGCTTGGGAGTAAACAGTATTTCTTGTTATTTCTTTGTCAGTGTTGATGTAGAGAGTGTCTGGTTAGCCTACTCTGGAATATGCAACATATCACAGTCCTTCTTTAAGGGTCTCTTTCAAATCTATGGTACTATATCTGTGTGTGTGAGAGAGAATCATATCTATCTATCTATATTTATGACTGGATGGCTCTTTGTCAGGAGGGCTCTGATTACATTTTCTTGCCCTGGTGAAGAGAGTTGGACTGGATGGCCTTAAGTATTTTCTGTTGGTCATGGGGGTTCTGTGTGGGAAGTTTGCCCCATTTCTGTCGTTTGTGGGTTTCAGAATGCTCTTTAATTGTAGTGAACTATAAATCCCAGTAAGTACAAATCCCAAATGTCAAGGTCTATTTCCTCCAAACTCCATCTGTGTTCATATTTGGGCATATGGAATATTCGTGCCAAGTTTGGTCCAGATCCATCATTGTTTGAGTCCACAGTGCTCTCTGGATGTAGGTGAACTACAACTCCCAAACTCAAGGTCAGTGCCCACCAACCCCAGTGTTTTCTGTTGGGTCATGGGAGTCCTGTATGCCATGTTTGGTTGAATTCCATCATTGGTGGAGTTCAGAATGCTCTTTGATTGTAGGTGAACTATAAATCCCAGCAACTACAACTTCCAAATTTCAAGGTCTATTTCCTCCAAACGCCATATGTGTTCATATTTGGACATATGGAATATTTGTGCCAAGTTTGGTTCAGACCCATCATTGTTTGAGTCCACAGTGCTCTGGATGTAGGTGAACTACAACTCCCAAACTCAAGGTCAATGCCCATCAAACCCTTCCAGTTTTTTCTGTTGGTCATGGGAGCCCTGTGTGCTAGTTCAATTCCATCATTGGTGGAGTTCAGATGCTCTTTGATTGTAGGTGAACTATAAATCCCAGCAACTACAACTCAAATGTCAAGGTCTATTTCCTCCAAACTCCATCTGTGTTCATATTTGGGCATATGGAATATTCGTGCCAAGTTTGGTCCAGATCCATCATTGTTTGAGTCCACAGTGCTCTCTGGATGTGGGTGAACTATAATTCCCAAACTCAAGATCAATGTCCACCAAACCTTTCCAGTTTTTTCTGTTGGTCATGGGAGCCCTGTGTGCTAAGTTTGGCCCAATTCCATCATTGGTGGAGTTCAGAATGCTCTTTGATTGTAGGTAAACTATAAATCCCAGCAACGACAATTCCCAAATGACAAAATCAAATTTTTGAGTGGAGGACATAAATTGGACTGTTAGGTGTCTTGTGTCCAAATTTGGTGTCAATTCCCCCAGTGGTTTTTGAGTTCTGATGGTAGCACGAACTAACATTACATTTTTATTTATATAGATTACATGTAATAGAAAATATATAATTTTATATTGTGGCCATCTCCCCAGTAAATGTTCCTGCAACTTAAATATGAATGGTGCATTTTCAGAATCTACTGCTAGACTATTTTAAGCAGAGACTATGAACTCTCATGAGATGGTTTTGGCATCCCCTTTCTTTCAGGCAGCATTAATGTGTTTGGATTTGTTTGTTGGTTTCTTAGCACAAGAACTGGTCTCTGAGTGTGGAACTGCGTCCTTGTCACAATGGTCCAGCTGAGACGTGTCTCAAGAGTGTGACTTTAGCTCTGGGACTGGTAAGTACACTTCAAAGCCATTCGGAATAAGAGAGAAACACTCATCTTATTGGTATAATGAATAACCAAGAGCAGACCAGTAAGCAAAAGATTGGGGCGATTCATCATTTTTACTAATTTGAATCTTTGAAGACACATTTTAATTAGTATAGAGTTTTTTCCCCATAATATTTTGATCTCGGTACAATTTACTAGAAAATGAAACAGAAAATGCCAGCCTTATATTTTTCTAACACTTAATGGTAGCTTTTGTTAATTAAATTCTAAGTCGTATTGTATTTTAATATCGAAGGGTATTGAGGTTTGGTGATATTAAAATTTATTACAGTTTAATTGGGGAACTTGTGGCTTCAGAGCTGCATCCTTGGGTGATTTTAACCTCTTCTCGGTGGATCAGTATGGATTTTTGGCAAGAGTAGTCTGTTCTACTTTAGACACCTTGCTGGTCACAGAAGACGATTGCAGTGCAGAGATTTATTTATTTATCGTGTCAGGAGCAAACCAAACAGTTTTGGTCGTGTCAGGAGCAACTTGAGAAATTGCAAGTCGCTTCTGGTATGAGATAATTGGCAGTCTGTAAGGACGTTGCCCAGGGGACGCCCAGATGTTTTGCCATCCTGTGGGAGGCTTCTCTCATGCCTCCACATGAGAAGCTGGAGCTGACAAACGGGAGCTCACCCCCTCCCCAGATTTGAATCATCGACCTTTCAGTCAGCAGTCCTGCTGGCACAAGGATTTAACCCATTGCACCACCGGGGGCTCTTATTCTCTGCCAAACACTTGTACTATATTTTTAAAAAAGAAGAAAAAAGCCCCACAAGGTTTGAAAACGTGACATTCTATTAAATGTCCTTTGACCAGTAGCTGGCCACTTGGAGTGCCTCTGGTGTCACTGTGAGAAGGTCTTCCATTGTGCATGTGGCAGGGCTCAGACAGCATTGTGATAGGTGGTCTGTGGTTTGCTTTTTTCCACACTCGCATGTCGTGGACTACACTTGCCCCATTTCTTAAGGTTGGCTCTGCATCTCGTGGTGCCAGAGCAGTCTGTTCAGCGCCTTCCAAGTCGCCCAGTCTTCTGTGTGCCCAGGGGAGTCTCTCATTTGGTGTCAGCCATTGATTGAGGTTCTGGGTTTGAGCCTGCCACTTTTGACTCTTGCTTGCTGAGGTGTTCCAGTGAGTGTCTCTGTAGATCTTAGAAAACTATTTCTTGATTTAAGTTCTGACGTGTTGCCTGATACAGAGATGAGAGATGTAGATGGTAGAGGGGAAGAAAAGAAAGCCCATTTTTGACTTTCCTTCTGCCCACTGCTGATATCGGGAACTTCAACATGAGGCTCTTGAAACACGCTAAAAAGGGTTTTCTCTCAAGAGCATAAAAGGGACTTATCACTTAATAATATTATATATTATGTCTTTTCTTTTGCATTTTTCTTGACATACGAATATACATCTTTTAATACAATAATGTGGATATTAGCCTCTTTCAGCAGAGAAATACATATTCCATAACAATGGCAGCTTCTTCAATGACAAGATAAAGCAAGAAGATTATTATGCTTCAGGTAAGATAACGTTTGTTCTATGGGCACAAAAACAGAGATATTTTAGAAGCATAGAACAGAATTATAGAATTAGAAGAAATCGCATGGGTCATCCAGTCGAACCCCCTGCCATTCAGAAAAAGCAGAAAGCACCCCCGACAGTGGGCCATCCAGGCTCTAAGGATGGAACTTCCACCACAATCTGAGGCAGAGAGTTCCATTGCTGAACATCACTTGCGGTCAGGAAGTTTGTCCTAATATTCAGGGAGAATCTCCTTTTCTGTAAGTTGAACCAATTTCTCCAAGTCTTAGTACTGCATTAGACAAGTCTGTGGCAGTGTCATAGGACACTTTCACCCCAGTTGAGCCGCGGAGCCCCACACTTCCCATCACATGATGCAGGCTCACTTCCAGCGAGGTTTTGTGGCTCAACTGGGGTGCAAGCATCCTATGATGCTGCACCCAGAACATGGGAGGCTTCCTGTGTTCCGTTTAATACAACAGTACCAGCGTGGGAGGAAACCATGCAGCAATGTATTGTCGAAGGCTTTCATGGCCGGAATCCATGGGTTGTTGTAGGTTTTTCCGGGCTATATGGCCATGTTCTGGAGGCAATTTTTCTCCTGACGTTTCGCCTGCATCTATGGCAAGCATCCTCAGAGGTAATGAGGTCATGCAGCAATGCTTCCCCAAATGTGATGGGGAAGCATTGCTGCTGATGTGGCGAGGTGGGGCACTGGGAATGCCCCACTGCCCTACTGACTCACCATGGAGGCTGGTGAATTGTTCTGCAGGACCTTATCAATGTGATGAGGTCCTAGTCTCCAGAGCAGCAGAAAACAAGTCTTCTCCCTCTTCCTTATGACATCCTCTCAAATATTTAAACATGGCTGTCACATTTCCTCTCAGCCTGGCAGCATCATACTCTCCAACTGTCCTAATTGGCAACAATATTTCTGATTAATTTTGCTATTATAATAACCCGGTTTCTCTGACTCTCACTTTCTTCCTATGTTTTCATCTTATTCCCATTGCTGCAAACTGTGTTGAAAGTGAAAAAGTAGTTTGCATGTAATTAACCCAGCCAAAGGTAGCGGTGTGGCCCTGAAAACAAACTACAAAACCCTTTCCTATCATATGTGTTCTTTTGCATTATGACCACCCTCTAATGTTACTTGATCACACATGTCCTGGTTTTCCTCCTTTAAATTTTGGAGTAAATGTTAACTGAGGCAGCGAACTTAATTGTAACAACCACATTCCTTTAGGATATCCAAGGCCACTTGAGTATTTTGACAGAAAGCTCAATATTTAATACTAACACTATGTAACACGATTTGTGTTCCTGGGCTATAAATGTCATTTTCTAATTGATAAAGCGGGGTATAAATAAATATAATAAATAAAGAAACTCTACAAAAGTCAATGCTATCAGTCTCAAAAGTGGCTCAAGATTCCTTTGCATACTCATCTTCTATATTTACACAGCTGTCTCTTTTAATTGTATCCAGAGAGTACCTACCTAGCTTACACTACATTACATGATTTTTGTTCCTGGGTTGTAAATGTCATTTCCTAATCTATATAAATAAAAATGTAATGTTCGTTTGTGATATTAAAAGAACTCAAAAACCACTGGGGGAATTGACACCAAATTTAGACACAAGACACCTAACAACCCAATGTATGTCCTTCACTAAAAAAAACCCACGAGTTTGTTATTTGGGAGTTGTAGTTCCTGTAGTTCCTTCAGAATCAAAGAGCATTCTGAACTCCACCAATGATGGAATTGAACCAAACTTGGCACACAGGACTCCCATGACAAACAGAAAATACTGGAAGGGTTTGGTGGGAATTGACCTTGAGTTTGGGAGTTGTAGTTCACCTACATTCAGATAGGACCGTGGACTCAAATAATGATGGATCTGGACCAAATGTGGCACAAATACTCAATATGCCCAAATGTGAACACTGGTGGAGTTTGGGGAAAATAGAATCTTAACATTTGGGAGTTGTAGTTGCTGGGATTTGTAATTTACCTACAATCGAAGAGCATTCTGAACCCCACCAACGACAGAATTGAGCCAAACCTRCCACACAGAACCCCCCATGTTYGCCACAGCAATGCGTGGCAGGGGACGGCTAGTTGGTTCTATCATAAAAACATGAAGAACTTTARTAAACTGAAAAAAACCTTTGTTTTTGCAGGAKATRCTGCAACACATTTTCCTATAGTTTTTCAATGAATATCTCATAGAGTCTCAACCAATTCAACGTAGTTTGTGGCAGACACAAAAAAGAAGTTTCTTGAGTATAACAACTACTTTCGAAATAAAGACTTCACAATTAAACAGGAAATAACACTTTCAAACCAGGAACAGATTTTTTTCAATTTTTGTTACATAGTGTAAAATAAATGACTTTTTGTGTCCTCTCTTGAAATTAACTGCATGACTCTGCCAAATGGTAATGCCAGTCCCACATAATAGTGTAAAAAAAAAAAAGATAATAATATAATGCAATTGAATAATCACGTTGTTCTAATATCACTTTCCACAGATACAATTGTCATCTTCAGGCGGTCTTCATCCTATATTGAAGCACAATTATATTTTGGCTTAAATATACAAATACAGCTTGTCCCAACTATGCAGGTCTATGCCACGCTGCCAGCGAAAAAATATACAAACACAGGAGGTATGCTTCTAACAGAAATAATATCATTGTGGCTCAGCAGCATGTTTTTATAAGGGGGTGTTTGTAGTGATTGTCAGGAATATTTCTGTTCAAAATTTAGCATTCTGTTTAGTACCATCACTTATTCAGAGTAGACGTGAGCAGTATTGCAAATAGAGGAAATTAGTGTAAAAGATTTTGCTCCGCTCTCATCCCTTTCCCAATAGCAAGCTATGTAGTCCTACTGTTATCTGTGATCTCAAACCAAAGATAACATTCAACTCTTCCTACTTGCAAGGGATGGAGAATCTCACTGCTTTCTTTTAAGTTAGATTGGAAACTACTATAGGATTCTGTCACCATACGAGTCACTTTCACACAGTGGGTTACATGAACAGGAGAGGGAAATTCAGATCTCCGAAATCTGATTTGAGATAATGGACATACCCCACGCAGAGGGAGTAGAGCATATGACCTGCAGGCCTAGTCCAGAGGGATAATCAAGGCTCCAAGACCCAAATGGTCCCCTACTAATGACCACTTGGATTTATGTAGCTTGATAAGACAATTGTTGAGATTAACTTCACAATTCAGCAGCAGATCAGTTGCACAACTTCAGCGCTTTCCAGTAGCTTCTTCCTGCACAGTATTTTCAGTCAACTGCTCCCACAACCTTCAGTCACTCTGGAACCTTTTACAGGCACTTGAGCACATGCCTGGCCATTGTCAGTTTTACCATTGTCTTTCCCCCAGTCTAGATGACAGTACAAACTTACCACAGCATACAGTTATATCTTGTCGTAGCAGACAGGTTCTTTTAATTACATATAGCCTTCGACGAAACATCACAGCACAAGGAGAAATATACACTGTACATGACTTCCTTATATACAATTCTATACAATTACACATAGCAATCTCTGATTGGTTCCCAACTCATTGACTTAACTCAGACCCAGGATTACATCATTCACAATCACCTGGACTAGGCCAGAACACATTCCCCAAATGATTCCCTATATACAGTTAATGCATGACTCAGCATTTCCAATAGAAGCCCATTAGCAGTGCATGACTCAGCTATATTACATTACAATACATTGTAAAACCTGACAGGGAAGGGCCTGATACAACATAGCTCAGGGATCCTCAAACTAAGGCCTGCGGTTCGGATGCAGCCCCCAAGGCCATTTGCTTGTCCCTTGCCCTAAACTTTAGGCTTAGAGTTTATAATAGTTAAACATGAAATCCCCTTGTTGAAATATTCTTTCCTTCTAGAAACTTCTTAAAGGGTTCCCAGTCCTTCCTGGACTCTGAAAGGTCGTTTGACTGAAAGTATCCTGTATGTTTTTAATTGTATTGTTCTTTTAACATTGTGAGCTGCTTTGAGTCCTAATTTTGGAGAAAGGTGGAGTACAAATAAATAGTAATAATAATTGGAAGGAAGATGTAAATTTTGTGTATCAATTCACATGCTAAATTATAAAGTGATAAAATGAATTTACGTTTGATAAAAAGGCAGGTATGGCATATGTTTCCATCTCTCCCCCCTCCCTCTAGATTTCTGTTTCTCCCCACAACGTAACAAATACTTTTTTATTTTAACACTTTTAGAAATTGTCCATCAAATAAAAGATCCAACTTCATGTTTCTCAAAGTCCTATGCTAAAGTCACCAATGGTGAAAGAGGAAAAACATTTTGTGATTTTATTTTGGCAATCTATAGGACTCTGTGGTTCATTCAACAACAAAGCCGAAGATGAGTTTATGTCAAGTCAGAACATCCTGGAGGTGACCCCTGAAGCATTTGCAAGGTCCTGGGAAATGATGACATGTCCTAAAGTCAGACAGTTATCATGCGCCAGCATAGAGAAAGGTAATATCTTATATCTGTTTTATTATAATATGTGTATTTATGCTTGTTTTACATTGTTGTTGGCACTGTGCTGTGCCGGTTGGTAGCCACGCTGTCCCTCTGCGGAGGTCGAGATAGGACGGGACACAAATGCCCTAAATAAATAAATAAATATTCATTTTAGGAACATGAGTCTGATTAGATAAAAATGCCTTTTATGGCATGCTAAGCCAGTGGGCTTGATCTGTTCATTAGAGGATAGGATACATGGTTTCCAGCACACCTACCTTTACAAGTCTGCTATTTCAATACCCAGTTCAGTACGATAATGTCCAAAACCAAAATGAATGTCATTTTGTACAGTGATTCATTGCCAATTGAACTCTTTTAAAGGGTTTCTGCAACAGAAGCATTCTCTTCACTGCTTTCCCAGTTTTAAAGTTGGTAATATAGGACATCAAAGTATCTATGCCATAGTTCCCTCTCCCCTCCATCCTAAGATGACTTGGAAGCTATGTTAAAAACTATTAAACTTGTAGTTGTAACTGGGGAATACAGACCTGGTGGAAAGTAAGTGTATGTAATGTATAAAGTCTATTTAAAAAAAACAGTCAGGGATACACACACAACATTTATATGCTGCCCTTCTCTCCCCGAAGGGGACTCAGAGCAGCTTACAAGATATCTATACATACAATATATTATATTATTAGCATAGTACATTATCAATATTAAATATTACTATATTGTACTATACTATTATATTGTAATATTATTAGTAATATTACATGTAATATAAATATATAATTATATCATATTATTATTAGTAGTGTTATATTGCATTACATTACAATATTATAAATATTATATGTATATGCAATATATTATATTATATGTATACACAATATATTACATGTACTTGTGTTTCAGAGTGTATTTTTAACACTTTAGTTGTACTGACTGTTGAAATAGCAAACTGGCTTATTGTAGATTCATTTTTTAATGTTGTACGAACTGATGCCATTATGGAAATATAGCCTTAGGTTTAGAAGTGTTAAAATGAAATTTTCTTCAAAATACATATTTTTACAACAGATGGATAACTAGTTGAAATAGATAACACAGATAAAATAAAAAAATGCAAGGTTTGCCATTCCATTTCAACAATTTATGAATACTGAGAAATGTGGATAATATTGCAGGGTATTATGACTTTTAATTAATCCTAAATGCCTTCATATTCTAGAATCTAGTAGCACTACATCTGTTTTTAACATTTACATTTGTGTATATTAAACATCAATGCATTGTTTTTCCACCTAAAAAAGCCTTAACAGTAGAATTATTACTTAAAATGGCTTATATTCCAAAATTTACACCCATAAAAAGTATAGCTGTAGAGTACTAGGGGCATCTACTGATCACTAAAGCACATTGCAATAATGGATAAGGAACCACTGCTTTCAGGCTCTACATAATATTCCATGGTCTAAAATAACATGGAAGATCTCTGTGAAGATCTTCACCTCACAAATAATAATAATAATAATAATAATAATAATAATAATAATAATAACAATAATAACAACAACTATTAAGGCCACCTTACTGGGATCTGCACACATTATTCGCCAATACATCACACAGTCCTAGACACTTGGGAAGTGTCCGACGTGTGATCCAATACAACAGCCAGCAGAGTGTCTGCTGTGGACTCATCTTGTTGTGTTTCAAATAATAATATTATTAATTACAAACAATAGTAATAATAATTACAAACAAAGGTACAACTCTGTGGCCCAAATGATGTCACAAGTACCACTTGCCAGCAGTAAAGAATTGGTGGGATCATAAACCTGCAAAGGTCGTGGAAAATGAACATGCAAAAAATACTGTGGGACTTTTGAATCCAGACTGACAAAGTTTTGGAACACAATACGCCATACATCATGATTGTGGAAAAGAAAAAAGTTTGGATTATTGATGTCACCATACCAGGTGACAGTCACATTGAGGAAAAACAACAGGAAAAACTCAGCCATTATCAGGACCCCAAAATCAAACTGCAAAGACTCTGGCATAAACCAGTACAGGTGGTCCCAGTGGTCATTGGCACAACTGGGTGCCATGCAAAAAGATCTCAGCCGGCATAAGGAAGCAATAAACATTGACAAAAATCACGATCTGTCAACTGCAAAAGGCCACCTTACTTGGATCTGCATGCATCATTCGAAAATACATCACATAGTCCTAGACACTTGGGAAGTGTTGGGAAGTGATACGAAATCCAGCATATAGATCTCGTTTGCTGTGACATACTGTATTTTTGTGTCAGAATAATAATAATAATAATAATAATAATAATAATAATAGTAATAATAATCATAACAATAATAATAATATGAACTTTATTTCCTGCCCCTCTCCAAAAGGACTCGGGGTGGCTTATGGACTTTATCACACAAGGCTGATGAACTCACTGTTCTTCTTCACTCTTCCTTGCGTAATAATGTCCTGCCACTGCAGTCCCAATATTACAAAATGGAAGAAAGGCTTGCAAGAATGCCATAACTGTGCAGTTGTGGCAAAACTGGGAGGTGGGAAGGTAGGGGAAAAGGTAGCTCTCAAATCCTGGAGAGGCAAAACATGGGTTGAAAGCAAGGCTGTGCAAAATACTGATCTTGGGCATTCACAGCAAAGTTCTGATATAGCCCAATTGTGGTGCAATGTGAAAGTAATGTTTCTAGTAATGGTGTGTTTACATTTGCTTCAAGAACATGATTGTGATGAGGCAACAAGCTTGGGTGATCAAATCTTTAGTTTATCATAGGCTCATAGAATCAAAAAGTTGGAAGAATCCTCATAGTCCATTCAGTTCAACTCCCTCCCAAGAAGCAGGAAAATTGCTTTCAAAGCACCCCCGACAGATGGCCATCCAGCCTCTGTTTAAAAGATTCCAAAGAAGGAGCCTCCACCACATTCCAGGGCAGAGAGTTCCACTGCTGAACGGCTCTCACAGTCAGGAAGTTCTTCCTAATGTTCAGATGGAATCTCCTTTCTTGTAGTTTGAAGCCATTGTTCCGTGTCCTAGTCTTCAGGGCAGCAGAAAACAAGCTTGCTCCCTCCTCCCTGTGACTTCCTCTCACATATTTATACATGTACAAACCCACACGATCTCTCAATGTTCAGATGGAATCTCCTTTCTTGTAGTTTGAAGTCATTGTTCAGTGGGTTCGGAGTGGTAGAGCATGACCAGTCTTCCTTTTCAGTTCTGAAATGCAAACAGTCAGACATAGCTGTAGAAAATAAAAACAATAAATATGCATTGGATAACAAATAAGCATGAAATCCATCTTCTCAGCTCTCATAACCCTATAATTCCTCCTGTCTCTGATTATCTGAAGTCAAGTTCATTAGATGAGACAGTCAAATTGCAATTACAGCAGGACAAAAGCACCTTTGCCACATGCTGTTGCTCCTTTCCTGCAGTTCTCCCAGCAGGAAACAATCTGGAAAGTGTTGCTTTTACAAAGACAAATAATCCATTACTTGTCTCCTTTTTTAAAGTAAATCCCTTCCAATAGTCTCCCATTGGGATGGCAGCAGAGAATAAGAAATCGATTTATGAGTTGCACATATTTCTATGTCAAAGACCAATGCCATGGTTTTGTTAGACTAGCTTCCTGGGTGTTTTTAGTATGCTCATATCTGCGGTCAATATTTGTTCATGCTCACCAAAATGTGATCACACAGAGAGATTATGGACAATAATATATGCCTTGATTTTATTATTAATTACAGAAAAATTTGCCAAAAAACACTGTGCAGTCCTTACTGATGCTAACGGAGTATTTGCTGCTGGCCATTCTATATTGGACTACAGATCCTACTATGAAGTATGAAAAGATTCATTACAGCTAAGTGTGCAGTGATGCAAAATTCACTTCATCTTATTCTAGCAATTTTGATTGCAGAACAGGACCTTCCTACATATAAGACTAGTCCAATTTATTTCAATGTATTGTCGAAGGCTTTCATGGCCGGAATCACTGGGTTGTTGTAGGTTTTTTCGGGCTGTATGGCCATGGTCTAGAGGCATTCTCTCCTGACGTTTCGCCTGCACTTTGGCAACATATTTCGTTGGGAGGCTGGATGGTTGAATTCTTTCTCACAGATTAGCTGGAAGAGATCAACTTTTGGACAGAGCTTGGAAATGACCAGATCTAAATAAGGGGTGATTTATAATTATTTTCTTCCTTTATAACTAAGGCATAATCACTTCAAGTTGCAACTGTAATGTAACAAGGAATAACGGCATTGTTTAGTAGGATAATTACGAGGGTTGAATGAAAAGTAATGCCTCCACCTTCGTAACTCCTCAACAGATGACCATACTGGTATGAGGCAGGTACTGGCTTGTTCTGTAGACTCTCCTCTACAGTTCCATTTTGGCGGGAAGCCTTAGCATTGAACAGTTGGGTGGTTAAAGTGCAAAGTATGGAATCCTGCACAGACGGTCAGTCAATGTGACTTAAGCCACATGCAGTCATTGAATTCTTGATAGCACAAAGTGTCACCCCAAAGGAGATTCATCAGAGAATGCAAGCTGTTTATGATGATTGTGTTGATGTGAGTACTGTACGTCATTGGCCGAGTAAGTTTACAGATGTTGAGGTGGGAACACCTGACTTGCATGACAAGCAAAGAATTGGATGTCCTGTGACAGCAACCACCAAGTTTCACAAACAAAAGGTTGACAGATTGATTCAGGACTATCATCGTATCACTCAGAGAGAAATTTCAAGCATAATTGGCATTTCACAAGAACATGTGGGTCACATTATTGCTTTGCTTGGCTATCAGAAGATCTGTGCATGATGGGTTGTGGAAACAGAGTGTTGACTTCTTCCGTGACAGCTTCAGAAAACTTGTTTATCGTTGGCAGAAATGTATCCAATTGTCTGGTGATTATGTCAAAAACTGAATAGTGATAGTTAAAGAGCACATTCTAAGGATTATTTCTGCATTTGATTTATTAAAATATTCCCATCAAAGTCCAAGTAACAAAGGTGGAGGCATTACTTTTCATTCAACCCTCATATAAAGCAAGGGTCCCCAAATTAAGGCCTATGGGCCAGATGCAGCCCTCCAAGGTTGAGGACCCCTACTGTAGAGGGTTTTTATTTACTTATGTAGTTATAGTTGATTTACACCACACCAACAGCTTGCAGCATTCATATGTTGTTTTTCAAACAGCAGCTATATAACAGTAGCTACAGAAAAGTATAAATCGGAAGAACCAGAAAGGAACTGATACATTTCAACATTGTACTTGTAATGGTAACCAAACACTACACAGAAGAAGGGGTTGCACCATAACTGTAACTAGTTACTCTGGATAACGTATTGTCGAAGGCTTTCATGGCCGGAATCACTGGGTTGTTGTGGGTTTTTTTCGGGCTATATGGCCATGTTCTAGAGGCATTTCTCTTGATGTTTCACCTGCATCTATGGCAACCTCACTACCTCTATGGATGCTTGCCATAGATGCAGGCGAAACGTCAGGAGAAATGTATCTAGAACATGGCCATATATCCCGAAAAAAAACGACAACTATTCTGGATAACGTTTAAGCTCTGTGCCTCAGTGACTTCTAAGTGGATTTTTTTTTGTAAAGTGGACATAATAATGGCATGGCTCAAAACAATGTAAAAGTACACACCTGCACTCTTTCTATTCTGCATCAATAATATTCAGAAATGGGCACAAGAGACAGTAAAGGGCTATAACATTGCCAGTAGCTATTATTATTTGTTTTGCAAATTCTAAGAATAAACTTCTCAATCTTCTAAATTGCTTTGTGAACCTTACCAGTGCTTTATGTTAGAGAAAAAATATAAAACTTCAGGGGAAAGTGCTTTGTTTTGTTTTTTTTTCTTCCAGAAATGTCTTCTGTCCACTTGTGTATGTGAAGAAATCAAGGATTGTTTGTGCACAGCTCTAGGAAACTACGTTAAGGCATGCACTAAACACGGAGTATACATAACTAATTGGAGAAGGGGATTTTGTGGTAAGATGAGAGAAAGCTACTTATGCTTAAAGTATTTTGCTTGACACCACTACTGCCAACAAAATCTGGCGTAGGAAGATGTACCTTGATGCCATCCATGATATTTAATATTTTGAGTTTTTTAGAGGACGTACAATCTCATCGAACAGGCCAATTTGCTTGTCGTTTCCATTGCTGTTAATTCTTTTGAGTGTTGTATGTGGCAGGGAAGGTTGCAGTCTATGATGATTGGGCAGTCTACAAGAGTCCTTTGCTTGTTCCACTTTGGCTTCTTACTCATTCTAGTATGTACTTTGCCACGATTACAGACTGGTTCAAGATTGGGAAAGGCGTACGGCAGGGTTGTATACTCTCACCCAACCTATTCAACTTGTATACAGAACACATCATGCGATGTGCGGGGCATGATGAATGCAAGGCTGGGGTTAAAATTGCTGGAAGAAACATTAACAACCTTAGATATGCAGATGATACCACTTTGATGGCCGAAAGCGAGGATCCTTCTAATCAAGGTGAAAGAAGAAAGCGCAAAAGCTGGGTTATAGTTAAACATCAAAAAAACCAAGATGATGGCAACAAGACTGACTGACAACTGGCAAATAGAGGCCGTGACCGACTTTGTATTTCTAGGTGCAAAGATTACTTCAGATGCAGACTGCAGCCAGGAAATCAGAAGACGCTTACTTCTTGGGAGGAGAACAATGGCCAATCTTGATAAAATAGTGAAGAGTAGAGACATCAAACTGGCAACAAAGATCCACATAGTTAAAGCAATGGTATTCCTCGTAGTCACCTATGGAGGTGAGAGCTGGACTTAGGGAAGGCTGAGCGAAGGAAGATAGATGCTTTTGAAATGTAGTGTTGGAGGAAAGTTCTGAGAGTGCCTTGGACTGCGAGAAGATCCAACCAGTCCATACTTCAAGAAATAAACCCTGACTGCTCATTGGAGGAAAGGATATTAGAGGTCAAGATGAAGTACTTTGGCCACATCATGAGAAGACAGGAAAGCTTAGAGAAGACAATGATGCTGGGGGAAATGGAAGGAAAAAGAAAGAGGGGTCGACCAAGGGCAAGATGTGTGGATGGTATCCTTGAAGTGACTGGCTTGACCTTGAAGGAGCTGGGGGTGGTGACAGCCAACAGGGAGCTCTGACGTGGGCTGGTCCATGAGGTCATGAAGAGTTGGAAACGACTGAACGAATGAACAAAAACAGATTCCCATCTTTGTCTGCAACCTTCCTGCCACTTACTGCACCCAAAAGAATTAACAGCAATGGAAACAATTAACATCAATAATAAATTATAAGAATTAGAAAATCAGACATGACCTTGTATCTGGATAAAATAAATATTGGGGTTTTTTTTACAAGTGCTGAGAATATTTTATGAATGTTCACAGTTGTTTCTTCTTCCATCCTTCCTTCCTTCTTGTTTCTAACAGAGCAAAAGTGTGAAGAGGGCAAAGTCTTCCAGTATAATGCAAACGCATGCAACACCTCTTGCCGTTCCCTTTCAGAAAGGGATTTGAGTTGTGATGTAGAAGATAGTCCAGTCGATGGATGCCTTTGCCCAGAGGGCCTGTATTTAAACAGCAAAGGAATGTGTGTTAACCAAGATGCATGTGATTGTCACATGAATAATCAGGTGCTGTTGAGAGGTCAACATATTGAGCTGAATAATTACACATGGTATGTAACTATGTATGTATACCTTCATTTAGATAATTATGAATTCAAAATATTTCTAGCAGGATATACAATACTTCGCTAAAATATGTTCCAAGTGATCTGGTGCCAGTTGATCTGTTCAAATGCCACTTCAGAAATTCACCTACAGATAGTAACAGATAGAAATTAATTGACCTGTTGTCTTCCCTCCCCATTAAACCCCAAAACCAGTCAGAATTATTCTCTGGACGAGTCCTATTAAATTGGACAGGCTGAGTTGTGGGAGAAGGAAGGAAGGCTGGGGGCAATTTTAGGAGGCTCTGAAGGATTGTGCTGAAAGAGGAAGATTTTTTATGCCACTCATGAGTGGCATACAGTATGACCAAATCATGTGAAAACACTTCCATGGAACGATGTCCAGATCTTCTGAAAGGAAACAGACAGGTTTTCTGTGTTCTTAAAAGTCATTGTTTAATCTTTTGTTGTCATCTTCCTTGTTGAACCATCACCATACATGGTACTGTACCAAACTAAAACAGATATTCCTATCAAATACATGCATTTTGATGAGTTACTGAGTTATTTGTTGACTGTCCATTGAGGTTGCATGAGAACACAAAAAAATTATAATTCAGGAGCAGGTTTTTTCTGACGTAACTCTCAGACTACTATGTTTTGATGACTAAGAAAAGCTTGGTTGCCCAAATACATATTCAGCTTTGTTACAGAATTGGCTCATCCCATTGAGTATTTTTGTTTCTTGTCATACAAATTATTTTTCAGTATTACTACTTAACGTATCACATTGGATTATACAGTGTTCCCTCGCTACTTTACAGTTCGCTTTTTGTGGACTCGGTGTTTCACTCCAGTTTTTGCCTCCTGGCAACAATGGAGTGTGGAAGGAGATTTCACCCTCCCCCTCAAGAGAGAGGCAGCCAATCATAAAAAAGAGAGAGGAGATAGAAAGCAGTATGTGAATCACCGCCTTATAACCCCTTCCTTATAGCTAGCCAAAAAAAAAAAAAGTGCGCAGTGCCTTTCAATCTCTCCTCACTTCTGCCTCAACCTCAATGTTATATATATATATATCGCATTCTCTCTCTCTCTCTCTCTCTCTCTCTCTCTATATATATATATATATATATAGAGAGAGAGAGAGAGAGAGAGAGAGAGAGAATCTCGACTTTGCAGATTTTCACTTTTCACGGGTGGTCCTGGAACGTAACACCCATGATAAGTGAGGGAACATTGTACTCAGTTGCTAAGACTCTTTGAATGTGATTCCAATCACATTTGTCCCATTCCATCAGTAATATGTTGGAACTCGTCTGCAAAACATCACAGAAATGGAGCAATTGCACACGGGATCTCAATCATGTGGTTTGATTTAATGCAGTTCTGAGATACTGTTTTTATGTGTGATCAACATAAAATGACTTGATGAATAACTCGGGACTATGTCTGTTCTTGTTTTATTGTATTTTAAAGTTAGTTGTATTGTTTTAATCTCCTGCTGTAAACCGCTCCGAGCCAAATTGGGAGTAGCAGTATACAAGTCAAATCAATCAATCAATCAATCAATCATAAAATTAGTATGCCTCTCATTAGCTGGAATCCCATGAGTAGTTCAAAATTTCCAGGCTATGTCATTATGCAATTTTGGAGGCAGAGGCAACGAGATGGGACAGACGAATTGATTGGGAAGAGCCAAACTTCTGTAATGTGTAGTATTTTCAAATTGTAAGAATCAGGTGTGATGGTGTCAGTATGCATCCAGCCCGAATACAATATGCATCCCGTCCTTTAAAAAATATGTGATGCATACTGATATAAATGGAGCATATCCCAATGTGATAAGGTCCTATGTCTACATGATAATCCCGTGCTCCAATGTTGGAGCATTGGATTATGACTCCAGAGATCACAGTCAGGAATGGAAATCCAGCAGATTTCCTTCAATCCAAGTTGCAATCTTTCAGCCTCAAAGGAAAGCAAAGGTAAACCTCCTCTGAATATTTTTTGTGAAGAAAAACACATCTTAGGATCATATCAGTTGGAAAAGACTTGAAGTTAAACAGCACACATTGTTTCTGTTTTAAATCTTTGCATAGGGAGATTCTTATGAGAGAAAGTGCTTCCAATCCATATTTTAATACAATGTCATGACCTCCAAGGCAGGCTACTTAATTATGTTTATTTGTTTAAATTTTACAGTGTTTGTAGAAAAGGGCAGTTGTTTTGCCACAACTCGACGGATCTTAAACCTGGTAAGTGTATACATATCAAAGAATGGTTTCAAATGGAAGAAAACTGATCCAAAGTTTAGAAGTGGCATAGAAACCTCAGGCAGATGGTGCCTCCTTCCCCCTTCCAGCCCAGAGTTTGAAATATTATTTCCAGAAATTAAAAACAAGCTACATCATTAAACTAATTTATTGTTGAAGGCTTTCATGGCCGGAATCACTGGGTTGTTGTCGGTTTTTTCAGGCTATATGGCCATGTTCTAGAGGCATTCTCTCCTGATGTTTTGCCTGCATCTATGGCAAGCATCCTCAGAGGTAGTGAACTAATTAAACTAATTTCAATCTGTGGCCTAAGATCCTAGTCAGTTCTGGAAGTGACAACTATGGGCCCTTCCACACAGCCATATTACCTAGAATATCAAGGTAGATAATCCACAATATCTGCTTTGAACTGGATTATCTGTCTTATATAGGTTGAACAGGAAGCAAACTCACTCCCAGAGAGCTTCAAAGAACAGGGAGCAATGAGTCACTAATTGCTTCCCTGAAACTGTCAATCACTGCCTTGCCTCCCAAACAAAACAACACTCACAGCAGCTAGTCTCAAACACACACTCAGATTTCTAATGCACTCTAAGATGAGGCTTACCTGAAGCAAAGGGGAAAAAGATGAGCAGAGGGAACAAAGAGCTGGGCATGTTTAGCCTGAAGAAGAGAAGGCTGAGAGGAGACATGATAGTCATGCATAAATATGTGAGAGGAAGTCATAGGGAGGAGGGAGCTAACTTGTTTTCTGCTGCCCTGGAGACTAGGATGCAGAAAATAGCTTCAAACTACAAGAAAGGAGATTCCATCTGAACATGAGGAAGAACTTCCTGACTGTGAGAGCTGTTCAGCAGTGGAACTTTCTGCACCAGAGTATGGTAGAGGCTCCTCCTTTGGAAGCTTTTAAACAGAGGCTGGATGGCCATCTGTCGGAGGTGCTTTGAATGCAATTTTCCTACTTCTTGGCAGGGGGTTGGACTGGATGGCCCATGAGGTCTCTTCCAACTCTATGATTCTGAGTCCACAGTGCCATCTATCTAGTTCAATGTGGATTTTATACAGCTTTGTAGCTTCCTGCGTCTGGTGAAATGGGAAATTATGGTTAATTGGAGAGTCTTTGGTTTATCAAGTATATTTTGAAAAGAAAAGGAGGGCTGCATGCATGGGCAAAATGCCATTCAAATTGGACCATGGTGATAAAGGACTAGCCTATTTTAAATAAAGAAATGGAACACATTTAGATGTATTTCATCCAGCTTTGTTTTTCTTTCTCCAGTAACTTGTGAAGGTGGAGCTGAATTTGTGACTTGTTCTGACCCAAATACAAAGAGAAGAATTGAGAAAACATGCACTAGTCTGAACATGCCTCAATTGTCTGTAAGTTGAAAGTCAGAAAATGCTCTTGAGAGGTCATGTTGCTCCTACATTGGTTAAGGGTTTGTAAATATAAACCAAAATATGAAAGGAGACTATACTATACTCTGAAAATATTTATTTTGTATACAGACGGATATGCTTTGCACGCCCGGTTGCTATTGTCCTTTACACATGGTTCGAGACAGTGAGGGAAAGTGCGTTCTACCAACCAGTTGTCCATGTTTTTACAGCGGTCGGCAATATGAACGAGGCAGCTTGATAAAAATTTCATGTAATACATGGTAAGCTTAACTTTTTTAATATGTTTGAATTGAGTTACTTCATATATGCTCAGATTGAGTAACTGAGAATATGCTTTCCATAATTAAATACTGAACATATAATACTGTCTTAGCCTACATTTCAATATATGCCATGCTAGTTTCCCTGTCAGTTGGTGGCTGTCTGCTAAATGCATGTGCCTATTTAATTTAATCTGTTCCTCTCTTGTTTTCTCTTCTACAGATCTGTTATTCTCCATTCCTTGTGTAGGCCAATTTTTGCTTAAATTGCTTTCTTCTGCTATCCATTAACATTTAAAGATTTAATATTCTTGATAGGTTATTTTCTTTGCTAGCTACGTACCTATTTTTGTTGCTGATGCTTCTGTTATTTAATACTAGACCGTCCAATTGAAGTCTTGTTCATATCTACATCTAAATCCATACCCACCGCCCATCTGTCTATCTGAAATCCAGTATAATATAGTGCTTTGAATTTTGGACTAGAATAGGCAGCTAGAGAGATGGAAGACCAGTTTTCATATACGAGGGTATTTTTTAAGTAAGGTCCGTTTGAACATAAGTACACAATGAAAGTTTATTTCAAAAAAGTAAATTTATTTTCAGAAAGTACATACTTCACTCTATTTTTCGACATAGTTGCCAAGTTTGTTCAAACACTTATCATACCTCTGAACCAATTTTAAAATACCCTCTTCATAAAAACTTGCCGCCTGCTCCGATAACCAAGAGTTCACTGTAATCAAAGAAGGGCGACCGGAGCGGTCCTCATCATGGACGTTGTCACGGCCATCTTTGAATTGTCGTACCCACTTACGCACTTTGCTTTCACTCATAACAGTATCACCGTACACTTCACAAATCTGTCGATGAATTTCTGCAGCAGGCAGGTTCCTGGCTGACAAAAACCGTATCACTGAGCGAACCTCACATGCGGAGGGTGAGTTGATAGTCTTAAACATTTTTAAAGCACAGAACAGAACCGTACAGGTTAGCTACAGAGCGGAAACTGAGCACAGTTGTTCCCGAGGCATGCCGGTACATGACGCATGCGCTCGTTGCAGTATGCGCACAAACTACTAGTGTCTACAACAAAACGGACCTTACTTAAAAAATACCCCTCGTATACTGTGCAATAGAAACCCATGGGTGGCCCTGAATGAGTCTCCACCTTGGAGGAAGGCAATAGCAAGACGAACAAATTTTGCGATAGGTTGTCCATAAGTTGGAAATTACTTGATGTCACACACCAGCAGTGATATATTTGACTCTGTATTGTCTATTTATATATAATATTAGATTCCTCCCCAGAAGAGAAGCAGCATTCCCACAAAACATGGGAGGAAATATCCAGATTAAACATACAGAGTGTTTTGTTGTTCATTCGTTCAGTCGCTTCCAACTCTTCATGACCTCATGGACCAGCCCACGCCAGAGTTCCCTGTCGGCCGTCACCACCCCCAGCTCCTTCAAGGTCAATCCAGTCCCTTCAAGGATACCATCCATCCATCTTGCCCTTGGTCGGCGGGGGGGCTGAATTTTTTTTCAGGGAGGGTTTCGGGGGGCTGAGTTTCGGGGGGGGGCTGAGTCTGAGTGAAAGAGGGTCTAGCCTAGCAAACCTTTTGTATCATTACCCCAATACCCCCATGCATATGGGATATATTGAGTATGGTGATCAGATCATGATATGAATAAACATAACAGTTTAAATAATCACCAGTAAGGCCTTTTCGCGAACCACCATGAGAATTTCGGGGGGGGGGGCTGAAGCCCCCGAGGCGCCCCCCCCCCCCCGGCTACATGCCTGCCATCGATCCATCTTGCCCTTGGTCGGCCCCTCTTCTTTCTTCCTTCCATTTTCCCCAGCATCATTGTCTTCTCTAAGTTTTCTCTAAGCTTTCATGCAGAGTGTGCCCACATTAAATAATTGCAGGAGTTTGTTACTACCATGGCTCCATCCTGTAGAATGCATTGATTTGTCATTTAGTAAACTCTGTCAGAAACCCTCTAATGCTGAAATTTAGGGGAGTAAACTAGAAAATTCTAAGGAGATCAGCAAACTACAAATGCCAGGATGGAACCATGGCAGCTAAAGTGCTCCCAAACTGTGCAATGTTGAAGATATGCGCACTCACAAACAAAGCGAGTTGGACCAAAATTGGGCAATGCATATAATGCACAGATGTGTACTGTACAACTAGAAGCCCATCAGGATAATAGCACTCTACAAACAATTAGATTTGTGGCATGCTAGATGCACAATCCCCTTTTGTTATTATAGCTGTGCTACTGGGATCATTAACAAGTGGAGCAAGCAGTGTTGACATTGCACCATCAGTGTGATAAGCAACAGTGCAACACTGTGGGACACTCTGGCCTTGCACAATGACAACACGATAATAGGCAAGCAGAGTGAATTGATAACCACAGAGAATTGATAATCCAGAATGAAGTGCAATAGAAAGCTGTGGATACTCTGCACCCAGCTGGAAAAACGTATCCACTTCCATCATGAGATGGAAGCACCCATTTCACCTAGTGTGCTTCCTCATTGTGCATCACCATAGTTCTTTCACACAAGTGAGTAATTTTACCAATGGTCTCATTCCATCATGATAAAGGATCTCATCACATAGAGGTCCTCATGCCGAAGGGAAGTGGGGGCATCTATGAGGCAGTGAGGCAAATCCAATGGGCAGTGGTGAAAGACATCACCCCACAACCTGCATCACCTCCTTCCCCATCCCATGGGGGAAACTGTCACTGCCTGCCCCCTCCCTCCAGCTTACCCCAGCTTACCGAAGGAGAAGACAGAAAGCCTCCTGTGTCCTCAGGGCTCTGTCCTAGGACACAACCAGGATGAAGCCCCACCAGAAGTAGCCCTGTGTCATGTGATGGGCTCTAGCAGGATCCCTCTTGGCTCCATCCAAATCTTGTGTGATGAGGTCCTAGGTCACGCATTTCAGCTTGTGAGGCAGGAACTCAGGCACTATGTAAAGCAGTAAGTGACCAGATCCTATACTGAACATTCGATGCAGTTTCAAACCAGTATTGAAGTAAGTGGTTTCACTGTGCAGATGATTACATAGGAAATCTTGGAACCAGTTTGAAGCTTGAACGGTGATTACACAAACCACAGAGCATGAATGTGCATTAAGTGCTTTCTTCTGTGTGCTTTTGTAGAAATTTGTTGTCTGGCCATCACAGTTTGAAGCTAATTTCGAACTTTATTAACTGCAGTGTAGATAGGTCCAAATAGTGCTTTCCAGAGTTACCTTGAAGTCAAGACTGTATCTTATGTTAATAAGTTACCCTAGAGCAGGAACTGGTCCCTCTAATCATTAACACACCACACCTTGAATGAAGGAAGAGTCCTTTTTAATTAAGAATAACTGGAGCCAATAAAAGAGATGATTTTAAAATAGGTAGAGGTCCAAGCACAAGAAACCAAATAAAGCAGCAAAATAAGCAATGTCCAAACATAGGAATAATAGCAATGTCCAAAAAGTTTGCACAAATAATCCAATGCGGTGAATATCCAAAAGCTTTCCATATTTATTTATTTGTCGTGTCAGGAGCAAGTCGCTTCTGGTGTGAGAGAATTGGCCGTCTGCAAGGACGTTGCCCAGGGGACGCCTGGATGATTTGATGTTTTTATCATCCTTGTGGGAGGCTTCTCTCATGTCCCCGCATGAAGAGCTGGAGCTGATAGAGGGAGCTCATCCGCCTCTCCCCGGATTCGAACCTGCGACCTGTCGGTCTTCAGTCCTGCTGGCACAGGGGTTTAACCCACTGCGCCACCGGGGGCTTTCCATAGGAAACCATGAACAGACTAGCCACTGCTAATCCACTTGAAAAGCAAGATATAACCTTTGAGACAAGACCACTTGAAACAGGAATTTCCATGAGACTTGAGCTTGATTCCAAATGATGCCAGATCTGAAGAAGATTCTCTAAGGGCCCACTATAAGTCCCAAAAACTGGTTCCTGGTTTTTGGTCTTAACTGCTGAATTCTTTCTGATCTGCGTAAACATTGGGCCTCTCGACGGTTCTGGCTAATTTCCAGACGGCGACTGGTCTTCTCTATCTCCTCATTAACTCTACCAGGTGTCAAGCTATCTTGCAAACTTGAGCCTGGAGAAGGGAGTAAACTTTCTTTCCTTGCTGTGACAGAAACTTTCTCATGGGAATTTGGCCTTTACCCCGAACCCTCTCGATCAGTGTCTGCAGTAACCTTATTGTCCAAAGTGTCTCCATTTTGCACCTCATCCTCATTGATCACATCAGACTAACTATCCAAATCAGAACCAGAAACATCAGAAACATTAGGAGGAGGAAACACAATCACAGAATGAGGCTCAAACACCGGGTGAGGCCCAACAATAAACAGTGTAATGATCGGCATGTGTGTAGATTACCTTAAAAAGTCTTACCTTAAAAATATACCTGATTTTGAGATTGTTGTAAACAAACTATCCTTTTTTATCTCAGCACATGTGTACAAGGAACTTGGAAGTGTGCGACAAATAAATGCCAGAGTTCTTGCCATATCTATGGGGATGGTCAGATCCAAACATTTGATGGAAAGTGGTACAGTTACGATGGACTTTGCCAGTATGTGCTTGCTGAGGTAAGCACATTTAACTTTCTCCTTCATGCTAGGTATTTATAAGTTGTTGCTTTCCCAACTCAGAGTTTAAAGAAAGCAAAACAATGGCAATTTGAAGGGAAATATATCTCATTCGAAACTGGAGCGACTTACAGGGAGTGATTTACCCCCCTGTTTAAGGAGCTCCATTGGCTGCCGTTCATTTTCCGGTCCCAATTCAAGGTGCAGGTTCTTATGTACAAAGCCCTGAACGGTTTGGGACCCACCTACCTGTGTGACCGCATTTCTGTTTACAAACTCATGCGATCTCTTTGATCATCTGGAGAGGCCCTGCTCTTGCTCCCGCCCCCTTCACAGGCACGATTGGTGGGTACGAGGGAGAGGGCCTTCTCTATGGTGGCTCCCTGACTCTGGAACTCACTCCCCAAGGATATCAGACAAGCCACCCACACTGGCAGTCTTTAGGAGGAGCCTGAAAACATGGCTGTTCCAGTGTGCCTTCCCTGAATAAAGGAAACAATGCCCTGCTTTGATCAATTCCCTGCAAAATGTCCTCAGAAGCACATTAACTACCCGTTGGGTTGCTCTCCCTACATTATCCTTTAGAACCCTTCTGCTTAGATAGGGAGTTCCATAGCCAAGGGGCAATCACTGAAAAGGCCCTGTCTCTCATCCCTGCCAGGTGGCAGGACCAAGAGCAGGGTCTCCCCCTATACAGACATTCTGTATATTGTAAATTGAGGGAATCTGTGGTCTAATGAAAACTGTGATATTAAAATAAAATTTATATCTGCATTCATTCTAAAACAAAATTTGCCATGTTTCTTTGTGCAAAAACCATGGCCCCTTCCACCCAGCTGAATATATCCCACATTATCTGCTTTGAACTGGAATATATGGCAGTGTGGACTCAGTGTGGACTTCGATTTTAAATAATGGTTTTAAGGTTTTAATACATTTTAATGATTGTTTAATGTTTATGTTTTTATTATGTGTGTTTTTGGCATCTAATTGTTGCCTATATATGTAATCCGCCTTGAGTCCCCTACAGGGTTGAGAAGGGCAAGTTATAAATACAGTGTTATTGCCCCAACTTTATTCTCCATCTTCATTGCTATGATACTGCACCTTGTTGATGGGAAGCTTCCCACCAGAATGGAAATAATCTATTGGACAGATGGCAAGCCAAAACCAAGGTTACAACAATATCTGTTATAGAACTCCAGTATACTGATGACAATGTCATCTGTGCGCATTCAGAAGAAGAGCTACAAGCCACTCTATAAACACCTTCGCAGAAGCACACAAGAAACTTGGCCTGTCATTAAACGAGAAAACCAAAGTGCTCTTCCAGTAGTCACCAGCTAATCCCTCTCCAATGCCAGAAATACAACTTAATGGTGTAACATTAGAAAATGTTGACCATTTCCGCTACCTTGGCAGCCACCTCTTCACAAAAGTCAACATTGACACTGAAATTCAACACCGCCTGAGCTCTGCAAGTGCAGCATTTTTCCGAATGAAGCACAGAGTGTTTGAGGACTGGAACATCCGCAGGGATACCAAGGTGCTTGTTTATAAAGCTATGGTCCTCCCAACCATGCTATATGCCTCTGAGACGTGGACAGTCTCCAGACGTCACATGCAACTCCTGGAACGATTCCATCAGCGCTGCCTCTGAAAAATTCTGCAAATTTCTTGGGAAGACAAGTGGACAAATGTCAGCGGACAAATGGAAGAAGCAAAGACCACCAGCATTGAAGTGATGGTCCTCCGCCATCAACTCCGCTGGACCGGCTACATTGTCCAGATGCCCGACCACCGTCTCCCAAAGCAGTTGCTCTACTCCGAACTCAAGAACGGAAAGTGGAATGTTGGTGGACAGGAAAAGAGATTTAAAGATGGGCTCAAAGCCAACCTTAAAAACTCTGGCATAGACACTGAGAACTGGGAAGCCCTGATCCTTGAGCACTCCAGTTGGAGGTCAGCTGTGACCAGCAGTGCTGTAGAATTTGAAGAGGCATGAATGGAGGGTGAAAGAGAGAAATGTGCCAAGAGGAAGGCACGTCAAGCCAACCCTGACTGGGACCACCTTCTGTCTGGAAACCAATGCCCTCACTGCGGGAGAAGATGCAGATCAAGAATAGGGCTCCTCAGTCACCTACGGACTCACCCCCAGGACACTACACTTGGAGGACCATCATCCTCTGACTACGAGGGATCACCGAAGTAAGTATAAATACAGTAAAGAAAGTTAACATAGTCCAAACAGATATTGTAGGATATTTCTGCCTTGATATTCTGGGTTATATGACTGTATGGAAGAGCCCTACAGCAGTAGTATTTGGGGCCAGTTTGGACAGCTCCCTGTTTGACTTGTTTCATCAGTTGGAATCAGTAGGTGTCGTGCTACATAGTGTGTGGTGATACTTCTTTGCTATTGATTCTGGGCTAAGCATGTGTGTTTCGATTCAAAAACATGTTCCAATGCATAATTTGTAGGACTTCTGTGGTAAAGAAGATGGGTCTTTCAGAGTCCTAACGGAAAGTATCCCATGCTGTGAAAATGGAATTACGTGCTCAAGAAAAATCACCGTGGTTGTAGAGGTAAGATTCCTCTTTCATGTGTGGTATCCTGGAAGAAGTCATGGATGATAGACCATTGAGCAGAAGCATCTCATACTATATATTTTTTGTACATCATTCCATTTTTTATTATTTACTAGCTTAGATACCTGGTGTTACCTGGGTTAGGTATTTTGTAATACTATTTATTAGAAATAGACATCGGTTTTGGATGACATGAATGGTCCCATTAGAAATACGCATGTCTTGCTAGATGTGGGTGGACTACAACTCCCACCATTCTGTTAATTCCCCTAAAACTCTGCCAGTATCTTCTGTTTGATAATTATGGGAATGATTGTCAAGTTTAGTCAAGATCCATAATCGGTGGGGTTCACTTGTTTCTTTGGACATTGGAACCTTCCTGGAAAATAGAGAGAGATGTTTTGACTTTTATAGAGAGAGATTTGAATGCACGTATCTTTATAAAACCATTTTTTCCTTTTAAAAATACAATTTCAGGGTGGCACCCTTGTTCTAGAAGATGGAAAATTCATGTTTACTAAAGACGCTGGAAGTACTAAATGTACAGACAAGGAGCCCTACACTGTCCACACTGTTGGATTGTATTTGATCATCAGATTCAACCATGGAATAACTTTGATTTGGGACAAAAACACAAGAGTTTCGATTATCATGGATTCCGACTGGAATGTAAGAACACTGTGAACCGATGTGTGTGCGTATGTGCGTGATAAATATCATTTCGCACCATGTTCTCTGTGTTATGTGCAGGAACTGTGTATTTTCACTTGCAAACTGATCACACAGATGACTCCCCCCCCCCCCCCAAGTTTCTCCTCAGGCTCCCGAGCTACTCACTTCCTCTATCACATGGAGGAGCCAGCACAACACGGGAAACTTCCTATGTGAGGAGGGAAGGGTCCTGCGACGCTTCCACTCCAGMTGGGGGTGGGGCTTCAACAGGAAGTCCAGCAATGTRGTGTGATTGGCAGCATGTCCATCRGTCACTGGACTGTCCTTTTAACATTCTAGGATGCTAAAAAGATGAGTGTGATGAGGTCCTTGGTAATCAATTCATCCCTTTATAATTGATTTGAATGGTTTGATGGGCCTTGTCCTTAAAATTGTCCAAATAACATTGTTCATTGTGTTTAACCAATCTTTTAAAGATAAAATATTTAGGAGGGGGGCATCTATATAAATAAAAATGTAGTGTTCGTTTGTGGGATTAACATAACTCAAAAACTACTGGGCAAATTGACACCAAATTTGGACACAATATACCTATCAGGCCAACAAGTGACCATCACTCATAAAAAACATTGGGAAATTGATTTGAATGGTTTGATGGGCCTTGTCCTTAAAATTGTCCAAATAACATTGTTCACTGTCTTTAACCAATCTTTTAAAGATAAAATATTTGGTGGGGGGGATCTATATAAATAAAAATGTAATGTTCATTTGTGGGATTAACATAACTCAAAAACTACTAGGCAAATTGACACCAAATTTGGACACAATACACTTATCAGACCAACGAGTGTCCACCACTCATAAAAACACTGGAAAACACAGTGGAAGAGACTTAAAAAGCCAAAAAAATTAAAAAATTCATTACAACGCATGCGCATAACCACATATATACACAAATACACAAATATATACACACATAAAACACATATACACAGACTGGGCCACAGCAATGTGTGGCAGGGGACGGCTAGTATGCACACAAAAAAATAGAGCTGTTGTGTGAGCAATGAACATACTCCTCCCAGTTTGAGATTATGTGAGCAAATTGGATTCTTACATGGCAGAGACCTAGTGGAATCTCTGTCCTTCGAGCAGATGACACCCGTGGAATAGTCCCATCCAGAAATGAGCTTGTTCAATTAGTAATCAGAGACAAGGGGAAGAGCCCCCGGTGGTGCAGTGGGTTAGACCCCTGTGCTGGCAGAATTGAAGACCGACAGGTCACAGGTTCGAATCCGGGGAGAGGTGAATGAGCTCCCTCTATCAGCTCCAGCTCCTCATGCGGGGACATGAGAGAAGCCTCCCACAAGGATGATAAAAACATCAAATCATCCGGGCGTCCCCTGGGCAACGTCCTTGCAGACGGCCAATTCTCTCACACCAGAAGCGACTTGCAGTTTCTCAAGTCACTCCTGACACGACAAAAAAAAAAAGAGAGGGAGAGACACAAGGGAAACTGTTGCTAAACTGACCTCTGGTTTGTAACCTACATCCTGACCAAAACAAGCATTGTACTCTGTAGAACCAAACATAAACTTTATGCCCGTGAGTGTGGTTTCACAATTGTTTCATTTTATGTTTAAGAGGGAGTTTGTTTACATGCATTTTATTATATTTAGCCATAATCTGCTTTTTAATTTGGTTGTGAGCTGCTTTGGATCCTTGCACTGGGAGATGTAACTCCTGATGATGATAGATGATAATAGATACAGTAGATCCTTAGTAAGTACTGTGCTTTGGGTCCAGGACCCCCTGTGGATCCTGAAACCCATGGATGCTCAAATCCCATTATATACAATAATGTAATAAAATATCGCATTTACTCAAATATCATGGGATGTTGAATGTAATGGGCCATAGATTTGCCAAAGGAGCAAAAAGAAGCAGACATACCAAGCAGAGTCTAGCGGGTTTGCCAGCCTTGACTTGATGGAGGGGGCCTCTGCTTCTACTTGGCCTCTCACCTGAGTGGCTAAGGAGAACCGGGTTTGGGGAAGAGGAGACAGAGAAGGGGGATTGGGGAGGGAAGGGGCATAGCTTCCCAAGTGGCCTCATTGGGAGACTGCCGCTCCTCCATCAGGCTGACGCTCATGAGTTCACTAACTTCAGTCTGACAGAGAGGCAGAGGCAGCTGTAGGCACACGATTCTACTGCACCACCAAATGTAATGTGCATCTCTATTTTGGCTAAGCAGTTCCGCCAAAAAAGATATGCATTGTTGTTTTTCATTCGCTCAGTCGTTTCCAACTCTTCGTGACCTCATGGACCAGCCCACGCCAGAGCTCCCTGTTGGCCGTCACCACCCCCAGCTCCTTCAAGGTCAAGTTAGTCACTTCAAGGATCCCATCCATCCATCTTGCCCTTGGTCGGCCCTTCTTCCTTTTTCCTTCCATTTCCCCCAGTATAATTATCTTCTCTAAGCTTTCTTTTCTTCTCATGATGTGGCCAAAGTATTTCATCTGTATTTTACATTCAAGTAAATATGGTAATTTCCTTATATAACATGGAAAAATCAAGGTTTGATTTTTAAAATTTTAAAAATAACATTTTTGTACCATGAAAGGTTGAATCTGTGGATTGGGGGCGGAGTACTGTAATAGTTTCAACTTCATACCGTCAATAGTCTAGTCATGAAATAGCAAACATGAAGTTCATCAACATCACCGCCCTCATCATATTGTTCATATTATCATCACCATGATCACCACCCCATCAAAAGTAACCTAAGCAAGTAGACTGAGCTCTGCTCTTTATTCCAATTGTGACTGGATTGACCTTGAAGGAGCTGGGGGTGGTGACGGCCGACAGGGAGCTCTGGCGTGAGTTGGTCCATGAGGCAGAGGTCCCTTTTCTGGTTCACACCAAGATCCTGCCCCTAAGAAACAGACCATTGACCCCAACTACATTGTGAGTCCGTTCAGGCCACCATTGCACTTTGCCAAAATGATCCTCTTTCTTCAAATACCACATGCATGCACACCTGTTAAGTGATGAACACTGAGTTGTGAATGGGTTGTTGTTGTGTGCCATCATATCATTTCTGGCTTATGGGAAGATTTGTTCAGAGGGCGTTTTCATAGAATCATAGAATCAAAGAGTTGGAAGAGACCTCATGCGCCATCCAGTCCAACCCCCTGCCAAGAAGCAGGAATATTGCATCCAAATCACACCTGACAGATGGCCATCCAGCCTCTGTTTAAAAGCTTCCAAAGAAGGAGCCTCCACCACACTCCAGGGTAGAGAGTTCCACTGCTGAACAGCTCTCACAGTCAGGAAGTTCTTCCTCATGTTCAGATGGAATCTCCTTTCTTGTAGTTTGAAGCCATTGTTCTGTGTCCTAGTCTCCAGGGAAGCAGAAAACAAGCTTGCTCCCTCCTCTGTGGCTTCCTCTCACATATTTATACATGGCTATCATATCTCCTCTCAGCCTTCTCTTCTTCAGGCTAAACATGCCCAGCTCCTTAAGCCGCTCCTCATAGGGCTTGTTCTCCAGACCTTGATCATTTTAGTCGCCCTCCTCTGGCTTGTCAATATCTCTCTTGAATTGCGGTGCCCAGAACTGGACACAATTCTAGGCACAATTCTGGGTTTTCCTTTGCCTTACTTAGAGAATGTGACATACCCAAAGTCAACCAGTGGTCCAATGCTTTAACCACTACACCACACTGGCCTTCTCTGGATGGGTCCATAATGACAAAAGTTACTTTAGAACAAGCTTGGATGCCATCTCACAACATCATTCTCTTTTCATTGTAGAAACAAACATGTGGCCTTTGTGGAAATCACAATGGAAAGATTCTGGATGAATTTACTACCAGAGTAGGTTCCCTGGCAGCCGGAGCGGTGGAGTTTGGCAACAGCTGGAAAACAAGCCCCATGTGTTCTGACACAGTTTCTGAAATTTTTCCATGTGATGCAAATGCATACTGCAAAGACTGGGCTGTCAGGAAATGTGAAATCATCATGGACCAACATTTCAGGGTGTGCCACAACAAGGTAAGCCTTTCAGGATGTAAGTGATGGGAAATGGATCCTGGCTTTAGCAATAGGAATGGTATGAGAGTGGTGATAGGATCCGATTAAATTAATTTGATGGCATTATTAATTAAATGTAGCATTTGTTAATCATAAGAGGTAAACTAATCTATATAAATAAAAATGTAATGTTTGTTTGTGGGATTAGCATAACTCAAAAACCACTGGGCGAAATGACACCAAATTTGGCCACAAGACACCTACTAACCCAAGGAGCAACAATCACTCAAAAATGTTGGTGGGCATGCTGGAAGAAGCAAAGACCACCAGCATTGAAGCGATGGTCCTCCACCATCAACTCCGCTGGACCGGCCACATTGCCCGAATGCCCGACCAAAGCAGTTGCTCTACTCCGAACTCAAGAACAGAAAACGGAATGTTGGTGGGCAGGGAAAGAGATTGAAAGACGGGCTCAAAGCCAAACTCAAAATCTCTGGCATAGACACTGAGAACTGGGAAGCCCTGGCCCATGAGTGCTGCAGTTGGAGGTCAGCTGTGACCAGCAGTGCTTCAGAATTTGAAGAGGCACGAATGGAGGGCGAAAGAGAGAAATGTGCCAAGAGGAAGGCACATCAAGCCATCCCCGACCGGGACCGTCTTCCACCTGGAAACCAATGCCCTCACTGCGGGAGAAGACGTAGATCAAGAATAGGGCTCCATAGTCACCTACGGACCCACCCTGGAAGATTATCCTACTTGGACAACGAGGGATCGCCTACATTAGCCAGCTTGTAAATGCAATCAATCCTAGACACTTGGGAAGTATCCGACGTGTGATCCAATACAACAGCCAGCAGAGTTATCTTGTCTGCTGTGGACTCATCTTGTTGTGTTTCAAATCATCAACATCATCATCATTATCATCATCATTATTGTAAGACTACTATGGCTTGTAAGGCTGCGTATGTGAGTGGCTAGTTCATACATAGCCTTAATCAAATGATGACAGCCAAGTCTTATACTAACATGCTCCATAGTAAGGAAAGGGAGCTTGAAATCTATATATAAAAAAATGTTCTGTGCGTAATGAGTACCCTAAAAACAAAAGAACCAATGAACGAAATCACACCAAATTTGGCAACAAAACGTCTCACAACACAAGGAATGACCATCACTCAAAAAATATGGTTTTGTCATTTGGGAGTTGTAGTTGTTGGGATTTATAGTTCACCTACAATCAAAGAGCATTCTGAACCTCACCAACGATGGAATTGAACCAAACTTGGCACACAGGTTTCCCATGACCAACAGAAAACACTGGAAGGGTTTGGTGGGCAGTGTCCTTTGGTTTGGGAGTTGTAGTTCACCTACATCCAGAGATCACTGTGGACTAAAACAATGATGGATCTGGACCAAACTCTACAAGAATACTCAATATGCCCAAATGTGAACACTGGTGGAGTTTGGGGGAAATAGAATCTCAACATTTGGGAGTTGTAGTTGCTGGGATTTGTAGTTCACCTACAATCGCAGAGCATTCTTAACAACACCAACTATAGAATTGGGCCAAACCTCCCAGACAGAACCCCCATGACCATCAGAGTGGGCCACAGCAACGCGTGGCAGGGAATGGCTAGTACCTTTTAAACTACTGAGAGAAAAAAGTTAGTAGCATCAACTGTTGTAGACTTCAGTCTTTTTCATCAGATGCACCATAAATAGACTCAAGTCTACAAAAGTATATACTAACAATTTCTTTCTCTCAGTTAATGTCAAAAATGCTACAAGATTCCTTTGCTTACTGATCCAGACTAACTCCACTATACCTTCAAATGCTCCTCAGTAGTAATTGTTCGTCCCATTTTTTTTAGGTTGACCCCACTCCATATCACAAGGCTTGCATTGAGGAATCTTGTGTGTGCACCATGGAAGGAAAATATCACGGGTTTTGTACTGCTGTGTCAATGTATGCAGAGGCATGTTCAGCAGTCGGCGTCTGTATATCTTGGCGTACTCCAGAACTTTGCCGTAAGTGAAATATTTCTTGTTCTGTCTCTTCGAGTAGTTTCCAATAGATGGCAGCTATAAGGTGTGTTGGGAATTAGTGTTTTACAGAATGTTAGCCCTTTCGGGGGGGAAATATGAAAACTAAAACTATTAATAATAATTCACATAGCAAAATAGCAGACAAAGATAAAAGGTGGACCTATCATGGGGAGCCCCCCCCCCCCAGATTTGCCATTGCTTTCCGCAATGAGAGAATGTGACTTATCCAAAATCACCCAATGGGTTTTCATTGCTGATTCATTGCTGATTCATTGCTGGTCTCCACATTCCTAGTGTAATGTTCAAATCACTACACCATGCAGCTTCTCCTGAAATATACTGTGAAGTATTAATTAAAATAAACTGAACAGATAGAGAGCCTTGTGTTGATCTGAGACAACCCTAATCTGTAATCCTCCATAATGTAGGACATATTCTAATGTGAAGACTGCATATAATGTGTTAAAATATTAAGGATATTCAGCTGCAAAATTCTCTTTGAAAACATGCACATATTCTACTATTATATGCACAATAGCAGAAAAATTTAACTTTGCATTTAGTATGTGTAATTTAGTAAACTATTTTGATAATTGATATACAGGCAATCTCCAAGTTACGAATAATATAGATTCTGTAGGTTTGTTCTTAAGTCTATTGTGTATGTAAGTCGGAACAGGAATATTTTTGAAGTGTAACTCTAGCCATACACACACACACACAGAAAGAGAAAGAGACATACATACACATACATGCACACACACACACATATATATATGCTCATATTTACTTGAGTCTAATGCACCACTGAATCTAATGCAAACCTCATTTTTCAAAATCCTGAAACCAAAGGGAAAAAAAGCAATGTATTGTCGAAGGCTTTCATAGCCGGGATCACTGAGTTGTTGTAGGTTTTTTCAGGCTATATGGCCATGTTCTAAAGGCATTCTCTCCTGACGTTTCGCCTGCATCTATGGCAAGCAGACCTCACTACCTCTGAGAATGTTTGCCATAGATGCAGGCGAAATGTCAGGAGAGAATGCCTCTAGAACATGGCCATATAGCCTGAAGAAGACCTACAACAACGCCCCCAAAAAGCATTTCCTGGTGAATGTAATGCTTTCTTTAAAAAAAGTATACCAAGACTTCCAGTAATAGAAAAAAAAAACTTTGGAGTGCATCTATGCTGTAGAATGCATACATTTTATTGTCTTGCTTTAATGCTATGGAGTTATGGGGTCTGTACAAGGCCTTGAGCCTTCTCTGCCACCAAACCACAAATGTCAGCATTGCATAGCATTGAGCCATGGCAATTAAACTGGAGATGATGTCCCTCAAATAGGATCTCCAGATGCTCCTGTAGCAGCTGCCCCTTTGGTTTTGGCACAGCACTAAGATTACTCTATGATGTGAATCTAATGCGCATTTTAATTTTGGCAAGTTCATTTAACCAAAAAAGTGTGTGTGTGCGTGTGTGTATGTGTACACACACATATGCTTTGGATAGCATAGGGAAGGATTAACACCGTGGTGGTGTTTGTTTTGCCATCTGAGCCCCTGTTCAGAATATTTCACCTCGTTTTCTGTCCCTGTGATCATTGAATTTTGAAAAAATGGCTTGTTGTGGGAACAAGAATTAGTGATAAATCTTCAGTGGAGACACCTTTTCCCCATGATAACTCTTCCAGGAGTGAATTTTCCTTTCAAGAGGTAGATTTCTCTCACTTCCTGTTGTCTCATCCCCTTCCTTAACTGTGAGTTGTTTGTAGGCCAAATGATTGTAACTTGAGGACTGCCTGTCCAAGTATCAAGAACCAGTCTATCGACCTATATAATGATTATATTTGTTAAATATCTTGTAATGGAAAACACTAATCGAAGACTTTAATGATGATGATGATGATGCAGAATGTCAGTAACCTGGTATGCATTTATATTTTAGCTGTCTTCTGTGATTACTACAATGCACCCGGGGAGTGTAGCTGGCATTATAGGCCCTGTGGAAGCATGGCAACCAAAACCTGTAAGCAAAATGCAGGTAACTGGACTCTTCCATCTGTCTTGGAAGGTAAGGTGCACAGCTCTTTCAAGTGCCAAATGGCTGTTCTTCTAATGTTTTGATAGCAGCTTTGTTCACCTGGGTATGGTGAAGTGGGATTCTTTGAGTTGTGTATATCAGGAAGATAATCCAATTGCAATCCACAGTAGTCTGTCCTAAAACTTCCCTGGATCACCCACTATTAGGAACATATGTTCTTGTAATACATCACATTGACATTATATTAATGTTTACTAGGGGTGCGCACAACTAAAAATACTGCTTTATTTGTCTTAACGAAATGCGTGCAGTCCCTATTTGCATTCTAAAGTGTTTTGAAAAATCATAAGGGTCTATTGGATCTATTAAGGGGTTTTGAAAATTTAGTTAGTTTTTCATTTACCTACTTTCTCATGAAAACTGAATGTTTTTGTTCTTTTGTATGAGGTTGAGGCAGCACTGTGCCATCTTCATAATACAGGTCAAGAGTTTTAACTCATCTCTTATGACTTTTTACCTTCTTACGATTTTTTGTACAGTGCGAATGGTTACACGTTCCCCTTGCCCAAATTCATGTTGGGACTACCCCCACCTCACCCCGACGTACACACTTCCTCCTTGGGGCTGTCATTCACTCCACAGCCAAGCACAGCTATGAATGAGACCAATGGTTGATGGGATAGATTGTGACCCTCACTGTTAGAAAGGCAAAATAAATAGGATCTTTTTCTCAAAGTCACCAAAACACTGCCTTCTCTGCCAAACATCTTTCTAGGAGAGCTCCACTTGCAAAGTTGCTTTCTCTGAGAGCAAGATAAGATGCAAGATCAATGGTGGAGGAGCAGCCCAACCAAAACGACCTGCCATTTTCATTCCTTGCCATGCCTCCAAAGAAGCATCAGTGTGGAACTGGGTTGCTGTGAGTTTTTTGGGCTGTATGGCCATGTTTCAGTAGCATTCTGATATTTTGTCTGCATCTGTGGCAAGCATCCTCAGAGGTTTGTTCAGAGGTCTGTTGAGAATTAGACAAGTGGAGTATGTATATTCTGGCCCAACTTACCTGTCCGAACGCATCTCCCCTTATGAACCATCGAGGACTTTAAGATCGTCTGGGGAGGCCCTGCTCTCGGTCCCACCTTTTGCACAAGTACGTTTGGCGGGGATGAAAGACAGAGCCTTCTCAGCGGTAGCCCCTTTGCTATGGAACACCGTTCCGAGGGATATGAGATCAGCTTCTTCCCTTCTAACATTTCGAAAAAAACTCAAGACATGGCTTTCGAGCAAGCATTTGCAAATACAGAGTATCTGACATAGGAAAATGGAACCACTATGCGATGGAACTGGACAATGTTTTTAATAAGGATTCATTAATGACTTATGTTTTATTGCTGTTGTTATGATTTTACTTACGTTAATGTTTTTAAATTGTTCTTGTACTTTTGTGGCATTGAATTTTGCCTTGTAAACCACCTCGAGTCGCCCGAGGGCTGAGAGGGGCGGTATACAAATACAGTAAATAAATAAAATAAATATGTGTGTGTGTGTGTGTGTGTGTGTGAAATGTTTAGGGTGTGAGAAAGGACTCTTGTCTGTTTGAAGCAAGTATGAATGTTGAAGCAAGTTTATTGTATATGATGCAGCTGTGGACAAGTTTACGTAGGGACCACAAAACGCATTGCCCAAGCACAAATCCAAAAACATGAAAGTCATTACAGACTAATTCAACTAGAGAAATCAGCTATAGCATAGCACTTGATGAACCAACCTGGGCATAGCATATTAGTTGAGAAAACAGAAATGCTGGACCACTCTCACAACCACCATGTCAAACTACTCAGAGAAGGCATTGAAATCCGCAAGCATGTGAACAATTTCAACAGAAAGGAGGAAACCATGCAAACAATCAAAATCTAGTTGCCAACATTTTAAAAAAACACCAAAATCAAGACAGTAAATAAAGAGCACAACTCAGAAGCAGGGGAACTCCAGACAGCAAACAATCAAGTGCCAATTAACACCTTCCAGACAAAGGATGCCTCCAGGCAAACAAAAGCCAGGGTACCTCTATGCAAATACCTTCACTGATTGACTTTGCAGCTGTCAGGCTACTCAAGCTAGTCAAGCTTGCTAATGGCAACAGTCATACTTGCTTCAAACAGACAAGGGTTTCCCCCCACCCTGGACATTTCACACACACACATACCTACATACATTCCACTTGTCTCATTTCCGACAGACCTCTGAACAAATTTCTGAGGATGAATGCCACAGATGCAGATAAAACATCAAGAGAAAATGCTTCTGGAACATGGCCATACAGCCCAAAATACTCGCAGCAACCCAGTTTCACACTGATGCTTCTTTGGAGGCATGGCAAGGTACCGCTTTGGTGGGAAGGTGATAAAGTCTCCCATGCAGCCATGCCGGCAACATGACCAGGAGGTGTCTACAGATAAAAGACTCCTCAACTTGGAGATGGAACAAGAGCACCTTCCCATGACCAGAGTTGAGCACCCCTCCAGAAGCTGGAAACGAAAGGAGAAGCCTTTGTTCTGTGTATTTGCATGTCATTGTTATTCCACTCTAATGTTTGCCTATCTGTGTATGTTGTAATTCACTCTCACCCTCAGGGAGATAGAGTGGAATATAAATAAAGTGTTGTTGTTATTATTATTATTATTATTATTATTATTAAATACTGCAGAACATTCATCCTTATCTGGAGGAGTATATAATGATGTATGTCATGCAAAATTTGATGGCAATAGCCAGTGACTTTGTTCTGACTGGCTATACAAGTCAACATTTGATCCTTTTGAAACACAGGTTGTTATGCAAAGTGTCCAGAACACGCACCTTATTTAGATGAAAACACCATGAAATGTGTCCATTTGTCAGACTGCACATGCTATCACAATGAAGTAGTGTCACCTGGAGAAGTCATTTATGATGAATGTGGCAGACTATGGTAAGTTTTAAGTTTCTAAAGATTTCTCAACAAGTTGCTTATAACACTTTCCATTTATTCCAGATATTATTTTTTCATAGTCTTAATATATTGGACTGGATGGCCCATGAGGTCTCTTCCAACTCTTTGATTTGATTCTATTCCCCCATAACACCTTGATTTGGGATTCTTTTTTGTATATGTGGCCAATGTACCAGAAATTATTAATAAACAATTACATTTTGTTTGTGTTGGAAGACAGACTGGTCAACAGTTTAATATAGGGGTCCTCAAACTTTTTAAACAGAGGGCCGGGTCACAGTCCCGCAAACTGTTGGAGGGCTGGATTATAATTTGAAAAAAAACATGAATGAATTCCTATGCACACTGCACATATCTTATTTGTAGTGCAAAAAAACACTTTAAAACAATACAATAATTAAAATGAAGAATTTTAACAAATATAAACTTATTAGTATTTCAGTGGGAAGTGTGGGCCTTCTTTTGGCTGATGAGATAGGATTGTTGTTGTTGTTGTTGTTGTGTGCTATTCCGTCTTCCAGGAGCATGGTTTACATTACCTTTTAGCTGCATGGGATAGCATTCCTTTGCATTTCCCCAGGGTTGCTATAGACCCAGCAGCACCCTGGAAGTTAAACAGTATCAGAGTCTGGAAAGCCAGGCTGCAGGCCCTCTGCAGTTATTGGTTTAGAAAGTATCTCTTTGGGTTAGGAGTCTGCCCTTTTTCCTGGGGTTGAGATCTCCATTTTGGAATCTCCCCTGCCTCCTTCAGTAGAGAAAAAAGCCTCAGATGTGCTGTTGGTCAGACAGGCAAAGCTCTGAAAAGTCATTGTGAGTACAATTGAGATACTGAGATAGATAGATAGAATAGGAATTAAGAAATTGAGTTATAGATAGAAATTGAGTTATTGAGAAATAGAGAGAAATAGTTGTTGAATACTATTGAGCATTACTTCATCTTCAAAGCTAACCTTGAGCTTAGATAGGGGAAGACCTGTTCTTTCTAACCATAGCAGCTCAGGGTTAAGGTGAAAGATCCCAGGATTTTTTCTACCATTTGGAGAAAAGTTACCTCAGTAATCGAAAGAAAAGGAAAGAAAGAACATCTCTGTGGTTTCCCAAATTGACTGTTTGTGTTGTAACTTTATCAAGTTGTGCCAAGTCTGCCAAGGACTTTGGAAATAAATATTTTGTTGATGTTCATATCTTGACTGGCATCAGTTGCTGAAAGTATTGAGTTATTGCTTCAAAGAAAAACCCCCAGCAGTTCACCCAGATAAAGAGAGAAGCACATCTTAGTTTTAACGTTATAGCATATGGGTGTGATGGCACATGTGCTTTCAAGTCATTTCACACTTAGGTTGACCCTGAGTGAGGGCCGAGCAAATGACGTTGGAGGGTCGTATCCGGTCCCCGGGCCTTAGTTTGAGGACAGGCATGTAGCCGGGGGGAGGGGGGGCTCAGGGGCTTCAGCCCCCCCCCCCCCCCCGAAATTCTCATGGTGGTTCGCAAAAAGGCCTTACTGGTGCATTATTTAAACTGTTATGTTTATTCATATCATGATCTGATCACCATACTCAATATATCCCATATGCATGGGGGTGTTGGGGTAATGATACAAAAGGTTTGCTAGGCTAGACCCTCTTTCACTCAGACTCAGCCCCCCCCCCGAAACTCAGCCCCCCCCAAACCCCCCCTGAAAAAAATTCAGCCCCCCCCCCCCGAAACGAAATCCTGGCTATGGGCCTGTTTGAGGACCCCTGGTTTAATATGTTAGTAACTTACATTAACTAGATTGTAAACCTGAACTATGGACTGTATCCAGTGACTGTTTTGTAGTGACAGTTCTGCTTCTACAAAAGCTTCTGTCATTGGAAAGCCACCATTACATGCAACTATTTGGGCCAAATCCAATTTTTATCCCAACTAGAATGAATCCAGTGACTCAGCAAAGCATGTGAAAACTTACTAAGTTTCTGTTGAAACTTGGTAAATTGGTTGGAATCAACCAGTAGATTTGGCCCTATACGTTTATTCCTCACTCCAGAAATACACATCACTTGAATTTTCTGCTATTCTTTGGATGCTGAAAATAAATCTCTGCTATGTGAACTATAGCCATCACTGCCCAAAGGTGGTGAATGTGCCTTTATTACAAGCAGTCTTTACATTTTGTAAATCTAGGCTGGAATCCTGTATGGCCATTCATACAACATAAATTTGTGAGCACTTAACTACATGTATAGCAGCAGCACTAAGAAACCCAGTTTCGGAATTTGCAAAAATGCCAGTGAGAGTATTGTAGCTGTGAAATGCAATGAGCCTGATCTACATCAAGGACTGTAGTGCACTGGTCCAAGTTCATTTCAGTCCCATTGCACATTGGTCACTTTACTGGCTCTGCTATGTTGCTACGTAACAGCAGGCCTCTACTGGATGCAGCCATTGCACATCTTCACAATACTCTTTCTCACAGATGCAAGTTCATTTATGAGCATACAGCCACCCCAACAGGATTCCAGCCCAACTATTTTGAGTTCTTTGCATTATTAACATGAAACCTTTCTTAAAATTCCTTTGTGTATAGTGTTTGCAGAAGTGGAGTTTTGGAATGCTCTGGTGAGTATTTTACCTGTCTAAAGTTTAGTTAAGTTATTAGTAGCACTGCACAACTTTGTACACACTGCTGTTAAGAGATGCTAATCTTGGCTGGAATCCTATTGTTTAGTCTCAGGCCCCTTCCACACAGCTGTATAAAATCCATACTGGACTGGATTATATGGCAGTGTGGACTCAGATAACCCAGTTCAAGGCCTATATTTTGGTTTATCTGTGTTGATATTCTGGGTTATATGGCTGTAACAAGTCAGGAAATCCCTGCCTTGGCGGAGGACACAATCCAATTCCTCCTGACAGATAGCCATCCAGCCTTAGCTCAATAACTTCCAGAGAAGGAGACCCCATTAAAAGAGACTCCCAAAGGGCATTTAGTCCAACCCCTTTTGTAATTAAGGTAGACACAGTCAAACCCTCCCTACAGATGGCCATCCAGCCTTCATTCAAAAACCGTCATTGAAAGATATTTATTCTTCACTAATTCTCCATTATCTGAGTGTGGACTCACATAACCCAGTTCAAAGCAGATATTTGTGGGATTTCCTGCCTTGATATTCTGGGATATAGGGCTGTGTGGAAGGGCTCACAGTTAGAGCAGCCTCATTGAACCCATTTTGCAGAATGGTCAATCAGCACATTGGTAAATCCAATTGATTCAATTGCTCTACTTTAGCTGGGACTAACAATAGAACTAAAGCCTATATTCTTGTGTCCCACAAGAAAGCTTATTACTGAAATGTGTTGAATATCTTGTTACTTCACAAGAGCATTTTGTCATTTGGGTATTTTTTTTTAAATCTTCTTATTTGTGTTTCTCTGTTTGGTGCTGCCCCATTTTCTCAATAATAGTAGGGATGGAGACAAGCAAGCCTGGAAAATGAGCTGAAGTGATATTTTAATAATTAACAATTATTTATTAGGTTGTTGTAGGTTTTTTCAGGCTATCTGGCCATGGTCTAGAGGCATTCTCTCCTGACGTTTCGCCTGCATCTATGGCAAGCATCCTCAGAGGTAGTGACCTCACTACCTCTGAGGATGCTTGCCATAGATGCAGGTGAAACGTCAGGAGAAATGCCTCTAGAACATGGCCATATAGCCCGAAAAATGCTACAACAACCCAGTAACCATTCTGTTCTCCCGTCATGAAGTGGTGCTATCTGCCCTACATGCATTTATTTATTTATTTCCGGTATTTCTATCCCGTTCCTTCTCAACCCCCAAAGGGGGACTCAGGACATTACATTTGGCAGCAATTTGATGCGACTACATAAAACACAGCAATATAATAACAATTAAAACAATAAGTAAAACATTCATTAAAACAGTAAAAAAAGTATTAATAGTCGTAACATCATTCCAGTTAATTTCATATCCAATTCCATGTCCAAAGTGCTATCTATGTCTGTTGTCCAAAAGCCTGGTCCCAGAACCACGACTTCAATTTCAGGCACTGAGAGAATAGTGACTATGGTCATGTTGTTTTTTACTTTTTATGTTTTGTGATGTTACCTAAGAACCGCTCTGAGTCCCCTCGGGGAGATGGAGCGGTATATAAATAAAGTTTTATTATATCACTATTATAGGTGCATCTTTGGATGTAAGTCTGCTAAACCCAAATGTAAGCCCAGCTGCTCATTGGAGGGAAGGATATTAGAAGCAAAGGTGAAGTACTGGGTTGTTGTAGGTTTTTCTGGGCTATATGGCCATGTTCTGGAGGCAATTTTTCTCCTGACGTTTCGCCTGCATCTATGGCAAGCATCCTCAGAGGTAGTGAGGTCTGTTGGAACTAGGAAAAATGGGTTTATATACCTGTGGAATGACCAGGGTAATCAGGAGAGAATGCCTCTAGACCATAGCCATATAGCCCGAAAAAACCTACAACAACCCAGTGATTCCTGTCATAAAAGCCTTCAACAATAGATCTTAAACTGCATTCATACAAGTAAGCTGGGCCAGAACCGTATAGGTTTACAACATGATTTTGGATCAGCTAAATAAAATTGTTTATAGTGATTGTATTTTTGTTAATCTCTTTGTGCATAAGTATTTGAAATTGAATTATTGACATATCCTTTCATATAACTGTAATCTGAAATGTGTTTACATTGGGGTACAATGAGGGCAGAGGATCAATGGGAATCAGATCTGTTGAGGGATTATTTTAATTTTTCTTTTGCTTGACCATTAATCTTTTCCCCTTGTATTTCTTCATGCTCTAATTTTATGCTGTATCTGTTTCTAATTTTGTACTGAGTGTATCTGTTTCTAATTTTGAGAATTAATTATTGTTATCCAGATATTTATATTACACCATTGTGCTTTATTTTTCCTATGATTCAATGTAGCTTATGTTGTGTCTTCTCATTTTATCCAGAGCTTCCATTCGTT